TAATTACAATTATTAATTTATTATTATTATTATCATTATTAATATAGAATATTAATAATAATAATAATAAATTAAATACGTTAAACCCATCTTGTCTCTAATCTGGGTTTTGTGGAATTACATCCACTCTTCAATTCACCAAAACTCAGTAGAGACAAGGTAAGTGAACATATAGGTGTATGCACAAAGTTTTTGTCTGAAATGTCCGAGAGTTATCTCCCTTGCGCTGAGAGGTGAAAAGGCCAACTCCATGAATCAGCTGAATAACAATAATAAAATGAAAAAAAATATTTATATTGTCATTTTGTTATAAACTAATAAGCAAAACTTGCATCTATAATAATTCCCCACTACCAGGGTTTTAACTTTTAACTCCTTGAGATACGGACAGTTGCTAATTTGTGTTAAATATTAATTGTAGGTCATCAAAGTTCAAATGGTTTTCAATAAAGAAAAACATTCAGTTACCAAGTGTATCCTTTTCTCACCTCCACTAAACTATTGAGTCAGAAAAAAAATTGGTATTAACTTCATTAAGAATCATGAAAGACAAGAAAAACACTGGAGATATTGAAGAGTCTTTAATCTTCAATTCCAAGTGAGGTTGTTCAACACAATCTTCCTCAGCAAAAGAAAAAAAAAGAAAAAAAAAAGAAATTAAAAAATTGCAACAGTTAAAATTAAAGTCAACATCATCATCATCACCACCACCATCATCACCATTTTTTTTTCTTAAATTTAAAAACATTGTTTCAATAGTCTCTCTTTTCTCTTATTTTTTTTGGTCACATTGTATTGAGAATCTTATTCTTCTCCCTTTCTTACAATTCTTTGTTCATTTGACTTAAGCCTCCCTCCCACTTTGTTCAATATCAAGAGGAGGAGGAGATAAGAGGAGGAAATGAATGGCAGCACATCCAATTCCTCAAGACCTTTCTCTCAGCCAATGTCCAAAGCTGCAGTTTTCTTCTATTGTATTTGATTTTTATTAAAATTTGCATACACAACAATGGACATTCACAGCATTCCATAGCAAAACATTTGGCAGTGGTGGTGGTAGTGGTAATAGTCATCATCATAGTAGTAATAATAATAATAATAATAGTAGTAGTAGTAACAGTAGTATGGTACAGTACAGAACACTTTTCTAGAGGTCCTCCCTCCAACACTGAAATCTCCCACCACAGTGTTTTTTTTTTATTTTTTTTTTTTTTTATTTTTTCTTCATTCTTTTTAAAAACAGAGTGGGATAAAGATTAAAACAACAAAAAACTTGTGGTGGGGGTGGGGTATAATAAAGAGAGGGAGGAGGAGGGAGTGTGTGGTATTTTGATTTAAAAAAAAAAAAAAAAAAAAAAATCCTAGGAGATATAGTTTCATTTTGAATATACTTTTCTTGATTTGGAATTAGGGAGGAGAGTACATTTCAAATCTTGTTTTTGTAGTAGTAGTAGTAGTAATAGCAGCAAAAGACCTAGAGAAAAAAGGTGGGGGTAAAGTTTCCAGAACAAAAGTTAGAAGTTCTGCATTAAAAGTGTTTTGTCAATACAAAATATTTTATAGTCACTTTTTCACTAAAGGGGGGGAAAAATCGCAAAGTTTGATATTTTAAAAACTTCCTTTTAAATTTTTAAAAGAAACAAATCCCTGTTTAAACATTAGTGGTATTAGCAACAACAAAACATTAAATATTTGCTTTTTGAAGATATAGTTATTTCCACTAATATTTATTTATTTTTTTTTTTTTAGGGTACAGTAAAAACAAAATTAAACAACTAATATCTTTAAATAGGTTTTTTTTTTTTAAATCCCTTTTTACCTTTCACAAAGTATTTTCTCTCGAAACACACCTAAGACAAGTTTAAGAAAATGATTTTTGTTTTCTGATCTGCAGAGATAACCGAAAAAGAGATCTTAAGTTTCTTTTTTTTCCTTTTTAACCCAAAGAGAATCAAGTTAATTACTTTTCAGAGTGACATCTATGCAGCATATGTAATTTACTATCTATGATATCCATTCATGCACATATGTACCGACATATACATATTATATACATCATGTAAATACTTATAACACTTGCTATTGCAGGTTATACAAGTACACTAATGTACTGACCATGGCAGGCACAGGGGTATGAAAGACAAAACCCAAGGTCTAAATGGCTACAATTAAGCTGATACTCATGTTAAATGTCATACCCTTATGGTCAGCTGGAGACCAAGTAGCCATGCCACATACTCTAAATATACACATTAAGTGCATGTGTGTGCTTATATATACCTATAAACACATTTGTCACATGCACCAAAGAAACATATTTCAAAAAGAAAAAAAAAACATCAGGTTAATATGCATGAAGGTATGTGACAAAGATTTTCTAATTTCTCATATGAAAAATTAAAAAAAAAAAAAAAATACAGATAAAAGGGAAGTTCTGATCCCAGTTCTTTTGTATGAAGTATATTACGATAGAATTCAATATGCAAAGATTTAATTTTTTGTAAGAGTGTAGCTATTTACTTATCAATTTGTTAGAGACAAAAAAAAAAAAAAAAAAAACATTAAGAAAAATCCTTCAAAGTGTTGTTGGACAATTGAACTGTTTATGCTTTTGATGTAATTAGCACAAGGTTTCTGGTTTTCAGCCTTTATCAGGTACATAAACTACAAGAAAAGAGGAGGAAAACAAAAAAAAAACTCATTAGAAAACAGCAACAATTAAAAGGTAATTGTGAATATATCAACTAGATGAAACCATACTGCCACTCATATATCCAGGTGCTTCCAAACAAGTTTCAATACCTTTGCCAAAGAAAGAAAGAAAACAACAGAGTTGAAATCTTTACCATCTTGGCCTAACAAGTCAATTTGGCACATTAAAAGGTCCAGCTTTTCTTCTGTTAAACATTATCTAAATAAGGTTTTCTTTTTCCCCTCCCCTCTTTTCTTCGGGATTATACACCTGATGTAGGCTAACGAATGGTTTAGGTAAAACATTAACAAAATTAAGAAGGGTTAATTCTCTGAACAAAATTTTAAAGTTAAAGAAAAAAAAGAAAAACTTAGTTAAATTTTCAATATGCCAAACTGATGTAGCCACTAGATAATGCAGAGATGAACTGATTGGTTTACATATATTTTATTTAAAAAGAACATTTTTTTTTTTGGTTGATGTTTACTTTTAATTTTAGGCCAAAAAGATTTGTTTAGTAATAAAACATCTACAAATAGATACAAGTTACAAAATATTAATGAAATTTTGTTCTTTTTAAGATACTGACATGAAAACTTAACAAGCCACGTACCACCACACCAAAGGTCATAATTGAATACACATTGATTTTTGTGTAAAAAGGTCCGGTGGAACAGGCATATTGTTTTTGCATAATTAATCCCAAATTAATTTGTCCAAATAATTTCAATCAATTCAAATTACTTATTCCCTCCAATTAAATTTTTTTTTTAGCTCTTATTAACAAATTATTATTATCTTTGAGAGAAGACGCCAAGCACAAAAACAAGAATTTTTCCCTTCATCTACCACTACCTGTGTGACCACAAATATATTGGGGGGGAAAAATCAATTTGGCAATCACATAAAAAGTAATCTATCAATAGAAAGTCATAGTTGAATATTATCAAAAACAATTACTCTGAAGGAGGGGATTAAGAGTGGCAGTCTAAATTGTTACTACACCAGATAAGTTAAGAAAACAGGCAGATAAAGATTTTATTAGATAGACAGATGTACATCAGGAAAACTATATATATATATATAAAAAAAAAAAAAAAACGTCTTTTTTTTGTCTTTTTCTTTTTTGTTCTAAGCTGTTGAAATATTTTTTATTTGGGGTAATTTTTTTTCCTTTTCAGACAAGCTAAAGAAAAAAAAGAAAAATGAAAACCACAAAAATTTGGTTGTTTGTCTAGGAAAATTCTCATAAGAAAAAAGAAAAATAGAGAAAGACAGACTTGGGGGAGTGGAGGTTAGAAAAAAAAGATGAATTTCTGCTTCTAAGTGACATTTGTAAATCTTTTTTTTTCAGTTTTTGATATCCAATAAAAAAAAATCCAGTAACAATCAAGAAAACTAAGACAACCAGGGAAGTAATTTACCAGTGACCAAGAGAAATTAGAGAGAGAGAGAGAGAAATTTTAGAGTTTGAGAGAAATAAAAACAGAGATAGAAAGTGAGAGAGATAAAAGACTGACTTACTCTCTCTCAAACTCTTTGTCTCTGCATTTTATTGCTCTGCCATATTCTATTGCTTGAAATTGTTTGTCATATTAGACATTTGTTTTCCCTTTCATTTGAGATTTCAGTTCCATCATATGGCAATGGTCAAATTTCCAAGTAATGCGAAAAACAATATGAGGCCCTTTTTATCAAGTTTTTCACCCCACCCAACTATTCTTTTTTTTTTTAAGTTCACTAGGAGAAAAAAAAATATTTTAAATAAAAAATAAACCCCCAAATGATTTAACAAAGAAAAAGAATTAACTAAATTACTTGGAAAACCGTAGGAATTAAACCAATTCCAACATCTTTCTTTTGCTTTCTTGAATAATCAAAGAGATCCACAGAGGTATTATTAACATTAACCAGATGTGATCCAAACATGAAAACCTATGAACGCGGATTCATCGGACACTTTGGACAGGCCTCATTTTGTGGTAGGGTTGAGCAGAGAAAATCATTGCAATCAACTAAACATTCCTTATTTTTTTTTTCTTTTTTTTTTTCTTTTTTTTTTTTTCTTTTTTTTTTTTCCAAAGAACAAGAATTGCGGTTGGGAAAGGAATAAAAAAAAAAAAAATTTATTTTTTTTTTTTTTTTTTTTCAAAGAATATGAATTGCAGTTGGAGAAAAAGAATAAAAAAAAAAAAAAAAAATTTTTTTTCTTTTCTTTTTTTTAGTGGAGATTGGGAGCCAAATTAAAAGTATAAACAAAAAAAAAAATCATAAAGGAAAAAGGTTCTTTAAAGTGTCCTTTATAAGTTTAGCACTCTGAATTGTCTGTAGAAAGTCTACGCAATCTTTGAGCAGTCTTCATCTCAGACAATACCGTGTTCATAGGTATATTCTGGGGATGCGGAGCGACCCCCATGGCGGCCAACTCCTCCTCGGTGGGAGGTGGCGGCAGCTGAAAGCCCCGGTCATCAGTCTCCTCCTCACCACCTCCGTCCCTCGACAACGGCCTCTCCAATTTACCTTTTGCACTAAAAGTGTCAATAACGCTGGATCTTCTGGTACTTTCTGGAGTGGGCGTGTTCGACACCGAGGGGGATGGGGACGCCGGGGGTCGAGCCGCTGATAGAGGTGCCTTTATGGGCTTAGAAACCTCAGGTGTAGCATAATCAATAACCACTTTGGCACTGTTTGTCCGTGAACTGGCGTAGTGCAGGCCAAGACCACCAGTAATGCCACTGTTTGGCCCGAGATCAGTGTCCCGCAGAAGCATGGGGTTTGGGGGGCTATCCGTATTGCGAGTATGTTTCGTCACAGGAGACCTTTGCATAGGTGGGTCCTGCTGGGGTAGTTTCATTGGCGACGCCGGGGAAGGCTGTTGTTGAGGCTGCTGCTGTTGTGCATGTTGTGACTGTGATGATACTTGTTGTAGGGAGTTAGGTGCTGTAGTCTTGGGGTGGCGCAACTGAACTTGCGGTGACGAACCACTTGGTGACTGCAGTTGCTGTTGTAACAACTGTTGCTGCTGCTGCAACTGTTGTTTCAACAACAGCTGTTGCTGCTGTTGTTGTTGTATTTGTTGTTGGGTTAGTATCTGCTGGGGTTGTGCTTGCTGGGGTGACTGCTGTCCTGGGGAACTTGGCAGCGCTTGTTTAGAGGGAGAAGACCGCAGCATGTGCATTGTTGGTGGCAGCCCAACAGAGCCTGTCGATACAGACGAAGACCTTCTGACTGGTGGCGGGGGTTTGGAACCACTGGATCTTCTTGAAGCCCCTGAAGCTGGTGGTTTGGACACAGGAAGGCCTGCAGATTAGGGGTAAAATTAAAAATATTAAATAAAAAAAATTAAAATAAGCATGAAAAACAACAATATTTTCTTAACAGAAACATCATTAAAAAAAAGAAAACAGATTTATCTATAAAACTAGGCTATTAAAAATTTGTTAGTTATATAAATTAAGAAACTATATTTTTAAAAGAAAATAATTATTTTTCTTTTAGAACAAACAGAAGGAAAGCCTTTTCTGAAAAAAAAAAAAAAAAAAATGACCATTAAAATGAGAAAAACAGTTTTTTCATTACCACATTTGAATTGTTATTTTTCACAATTACTGTTTGGACTCGTTCAAAATTGTGTCATCCAAATGATTTGAACTCTGGATTTACAAATCATGTTTAGGTGTCAGACTATCAGGATATGTCAACAACTTAGACCAGAATCTGAACTTCTCTAACTGATTCCAGTTTCTGCATCAACAGATCTCTCAGATTCATAAATTCGCCTTCCTGCAGACAAGACGATTCAAAAAGTTTTTGCAAATGAGCTGCGACACTTACCTCCAAAACATTTTCAAATGTATTAATATAAACACTGCAAAACGAGAGTTAAGAAATAGGAGATGGGAGTGTTAGTAATTACTCTTATGTGGCTAGGAAAGGAGAGTCAGAACTTTTCAATATGCAAAAAATGGTAAATCTTAATAGAGAGGGTCAGTAAATCATTTAAAGCAGTAATTCTCAATTACTAAGTGTGCTGTGAAATATTGTCATGGCATACATGTGTGTGTGTGTGTGTGTGTGTGTGTGTGTGTGTGTATAAATAGTAATGGTATAGCATTAGTATTTGAATAGATGAATAAATATTAAACTTTTTTTTTTTTCAAATAAGTCTTTTCACTATTCTTTGTTATTTTAAATACTTTTTAATTTTGATTAAGAAGAAATGAGGGTCTGCTTATCACACACTGAACAAACCTTGAAGAAATAACTAAAAAAAAAAAAACCAAAAAAAAAAAACAAAAAAAAAAAAAAAAACAAAAAAAAAAAAAAAAAACAAAAAAAAAAAAAAAAAAAAAAAAAAACAAAAAAAAAACAAAAAAAAAAAAAAAAAAAAAAAAAAAAAAAAAAACAAAAAAAAAAAAAAAAAAAAAAAAAAAAAAAAAAAAACAAACAAAAAAAACAAACAAACAAAAAAAACAAAAAAAAAAACAAAAAAAAACCTCAAAACACTAGACAGGTAAAATAAGCTGCACAAATAGTTGAGTAGGAACATTGAAATAAAGTAAGTTCATATTTATGTGTGTATATTTTTTTTTAAATCTATGATTTCATAACATTTAAATGCATACGCTTTAAAAATTTTGCTAAGTGTGCTGTGATAATTTCATTTGCTTCTAGATGTGCCAATGCTTAATAAGGTTGAGAAACACTGAATTAACGGTAAAAAATTTAAGTAAAGAACATATCAAAGAATGGAACATGGTAATTCTGTAAAGAATCAAAAAAAAAAAAAAATATTGAACACTATCTTTGAAAATGCAATCATAAATGCACACAGGTAAAAACTTAAACCAAATAGACTAACTACTGCGGTGGTGGGGGTATCTAAAGTAAAAAAAAAAGTCCTCCCCTCTTTCTAGCAGGGTAAAAGATTACTTAAAAGTTGATTTTTTTTTTTCAGTCATTTGCATGAGAAAGAGGGCTTATATTTGTTTTTATCATAATCAAGTATTTTCTTTCAGCCAAGTTCAAAGCATGACAATAGACACTGAATGCCTGCAACCTGACATTATTCCACATTTTTATGGAAAAACTTATTCTGTTCTTTCAGATGACAAGATGAGTGAACATTTAATTTTATTTATTAATGTTCTATCTCTATCGAGCACATTAATTACAAAAACTGCTTGCCTTAAAAACATTATCTCCCAGAAATACCATAGTCAACAATTTTTTTTTGCTGGGTGGAATGGAATTATATATTTGCATGCATCCAAATTGGATTCCACTTACAGAGAACACATCAAGGCCTCAAATTATCCTTAAAAGCAATAGCTTCTTTTAAACAGATTTCTATATTAAAAAAAATTAGGTATACATTTGATCTTGTTGTTGCACAATTGTTCCTACTAACTGGAATCGTGTGTGTGTGTGTGTGTGTGTGTGTGTATGCATGCACACAGAGATGCTAAGAAGTTCTCTGCCCAATTAAGAAATGCCCCCCCCCATATCCAGATATTCTGTGAAGTGGATCAAGCCAAGAAGTTTTAAGCATCCCCTTTAAATAAAGGGTGTGGTGGAAATACCTCCCACATAAAACATTAGTGTCAATGGTGTCTTTATCTAGCTAATGTCTTGGTATATGTGGGAGATATTTCTACAGCATCCTGTATAAATAGCTCACACACACACACACACAGTGCTACCAAAAAACACTCCGTAAATTTACCCCCATTTTCCATCAGACAATTTTCTTTCTGAATTTTGTGCAAATTTTCAGGTAGCATCTTGTGTATGTGTGTAATTATGTATAGACATAATTATATATTCTTATTTATTTCCATTTTTGTATAATTTAGAGCTGTTTTAGTTTAAAACTGAATTTCAAGGAGATAGGGAACAAAAAATTTTTTTTTCATTTGAAACAAACCAAGTGTAATCAATTAAATATTTTTTGTAATTTCCCAAAATGATATTTAACAAAATTGCATTACTTCAAGCAGAAAACTTAGAAATGCGTTCCATTTATGGAAGGTAATCAACTGGTTTAAAAAAAAAAAAAAAAAACTGAAGAGGAAAGAAATAATATTCAAGTTTAAATGATGATCAAAAAAAAAAAAAAAGAAAAAAGTACAATTATTAACATCATGAAACATCAGCTTGAAAGAAAGAACAGATGATGGATAACTGAAGGGTAGAAATGGAAATGAAGGATATACACAAAAAGGGCACAAAATGGATGAAATGATACACATTTCAGATACAACACCAGGGGAAAAATGTGCAGAGTTTATTGGTAAATTTTGAAACGATTTACTTATTTGCTCCTAACTTTTTCATTTTTTTTGTTATCCTTCATGGGGGTCCCTTTTTGGATACAATATCAATGCATTAAAAACTTTTTTCCTCCCTACCCAGCTGAAAGTTCTCTAAAAATTCTTATTTGTTTTTTCTATATTTTGAACCAGTTTCCTTTGAAAATTTGAATATAAACAATCTGATATCCAATTATTTATGGCTTTTATAAGTGAGTTTTTGTTGATAACATTGTGTATGTATTATGATTTATGTGATATCAGTTTCATCATTTTTACAAAATCATCATCCGTGTGTGTGTGAGAGAGCGAGAGTGTGTGTGTGTGTGTGTGTGTGAGTGAGATAGCATTGTCTTTTGTTTTTTAGTTATGAAATATATTTAGTATGTTCTTAAATTTTATAAAATCTTATTGATACTGACTTGCTTGTCCTTTATGCTAAATTCTAGCATTTGTAATCATTTTTACAGTTTATATAAAAATATATTAAGTTAAAAAAAAACAAATTGGTGAGTAAAGACATACTTAAAAAATGAAAAACAAAACTGATATTATGTGTCATGATATTTGAAAAAAGATGAAACTGACAGCTCTTGCCACCACAAAAACAACAAATACATGCATATAATCACATTATCAACAAAAAGTCTTTGATAATGGCTTATAAAATCTGAAATTACTCAAGCATTGAAGAATTTTTATTCAAATTTTCACCAGAAACCTGAAGGGTCTGAAGAAAAAAAAATACCTTAGCAAGGAACTTTCATCACTTTAATTGAATTTTTTTTTAACAGTTTTTATTGATGGATCATATATATATATACCTCCACTAATTCATGATATGTAAGGTTTAAAATTATTTTTTTTTTAAAATGAAAAAGTTTTCTTCAATCTTTTATTTTAGCTTTAATTTAAAGCTAAATGATTTAAATTTACTATTTCCAGTAAGCAAAATACTCTGTGGTGTATTTCAAACAGAAATTACAATGATTAAAATTGGATTTTTTTTTTCCAGTAGAAAAAAAAACAAAAAAAAACGATAAAATCGGTCATTTTGATACATTTCTAAACAAAAGTTAATTCTCAGATTTAAAAATCTTGCAAAAATGAAATATATAGTGCTGAAATGTTATTTGAGGAAAATTAGCAAATTTTAAGTTAAATTAATCTGATTTGAAACAAATATTACTTATAGCATAAAATGTATACAAACATTTCTTCACTACTGAGTCTTGTTTTTCCGACATATTGATTGATTTGACATATTAACATGTTGGCAGTTAAGTATGGTGGAGCAAAATTGCTAGCAGCCAATAAAGTCTATATGAGGGTTTTTCTTCTATAGGCAACCCTTAAAACACATAGCCTTTTAATGATAATGTCAGGTATGAATATGCATACTTACAAATTCTGCATGTATATACACATAAAAACAAATTGAAATTTTTAAAAATATTCAGGGTTATCAGATTGTAATAAGTTTTACAATACATGATTAGTAAATATAGTTTTACTTAATAACAATATTTCCTAAGAGTCACAAGATTCAAACTGAAATTTAAGAGATTTACAAACTTTATAAATTATTCAATTTAAAAATGTAAAGAAAAAACAAAACAGATCTTGTGAAAATTAATTTTTCATTAAAATTATTTTTCTTCAGACAATACTGTTCATAATACATATTCATAAAAGCTTCTCTAATTAATTAATGTCTTAGTTCTATTGTTTTTTATTTTTTGATTCAGAGCAGATTTTCGGTAAGATGGGTTCTGATTTTGAAGAGAGAAAAAAAAAAAAAAATCAGTGATTTAAATTCTTCAAAGAATTTTGATTTTAACTAATAGTCACTAAAAATTATGTTGAATTTCTCAAGTTTCCATAAAAGTGGGTGAAATGCATGTTAAAAAAAAGAAATATTTTTACCAAGATTTTCTAATGAAAAAATTTCAAAAATAATTTCATTCATTTATGAATAAGTCCTGAAAATTTCATTAAAATTTGACAATTATTTGATTTTTGCAAGAATTTCCAAATTAATGTGTCTGTCACCACAAAAAAGAATATAAATTTGCTATGCTAAAATTTAGTACATCTGCTGATGCAAGAAAAACAAGATTTTTAATCAAAATTTTAAAAAGGAGTAAAAAATTTCATTAAATATTAAAAAAAATACTTTGATTCTTCCTCTTAATAATAACAAAGATTTTGATGATAAAACTATTTTCATTATGGTATGTGGATTTTTTAGCGATTTCATGGAGATATATATATATATATATATATATATATATATATGTGAGACAGAATAGAATACAAACAAACATCAGTTATTTTTTTATTTTTTATTTTGTTCCCTCCTTCAACATATATGATCCCATCAATAAAAACATTTACTGTGAAGTAGTTCTTTTGGAGGATGAATCATCTCAAATTAGAATTTTTGTCATTCAATTATCTACTGTTTTACCATTTGTCTGAGAAGACAAAAAGGAAAATTTTTTATACCAATATGTTTTGTCCCCTAAGGGACTTTATTAACAATTTTATTCTGCAACAAATAATTATTTTTCAAAATAAAATCTTTACATTTACCTTGAAGTCCTTCAGGGGCTGAAATGGTTTGGTGAAGAAAATTTTTTTCTTTCATCTTTATTAATATACAGATATATTTTATTTACATGTGTGTGTGTGTGTGTGTGTGTGTGTGTGTGTGACACACATATTGGGGCCACCCTCTGGATTTAATAATTAGTAAGTTTCATATTTTATTTAGTTTAATTAACTCCAATCAAGCTAGGATGCTGAAACTATCTAACCCATTAGTGGATAGTGTTCAATTTTTTTTTTTTTTTTTTGTTTAGACAGACTAAAATTTTAAAGAAACTTTATGCAGTAATAGACCAATTTCATTATTATTGAATATATGATAAAAGCCTTCAGGAAGATTTGGCCCAAAGTGATATAGTAAATTAGTTTAAAAAAAAAAAAATTCAAATCTTCAATTTTTAGGGGATTCTTTAAAATCCAAATTGATCCCAAACTTTTGGACTATAATGTGTGTGTATTTTGCAAGTTAGCCTAAACTGCATATTTCATGAAATTTGAAATAATTTCATTTTTGCTATTGAGGTTGTCTCCCTTATTAAGTGTATGCTTTCAAGAGAATCTTAGATATCATGACAAAAGATACACTGAAAGATTTTAATAGACAAATTTAACAAATAGAAGCAGTGAGGTAGTAAAGTGTATTGATACATTTTTCTCCACTTACCATGGCATCAGATTAAATAAAAATAAATGAACCCTCAGAATTCTCTGCATGTATTTTGGAGATGATTACAAAAGTGTAAGGTGAGGTTAGAACTGAAATCTAGCACCAAGGGTTAACAAGGGATTGCGGAAAAAAAGCACATGGTTTCAGTCAGAGGTGTAAGAGAGACTGGGAGTGAGTGGTTGGTGGCTACGAAAGATTTACAAAGGAAGGAAGGAAGGAAGGAAGCAGCACAACATTGAACAACACAGACCAAGAAATATACAACACAAAGCAAGATATTACCAGGAAAATAATGAATGTATTGCATGCAAAAGAAAAAATCTCAGTTACCAACCTTACTTAGACTGTTTGCTCCCTGGACCTGTAATCAGCCCTGTTTTTAACTTTGGACAATACAAGGATTGTGAAGGTAGTGCAATGCTTATCAGTGATCCAAGTTCAAATTCTGCCCTAGTCTGTTGCATTCGGTTTTGAACAAATGCTCTTGGGAAAGGTATGAATTAAATAGCAGAGCAGACTAAGTTTTCTAGACTTGGTTGGTAACCAGTCTAGAAGGACTACTGAATTCAGAATCATAGAGAAGATGACAGAAAAATGATCCACTATCTTCCCCAAAAAGTCATGGCAATTTGCAGATATAGAAAAGAAATCTGGAGAGAGAGCCATGATTGCCTATGTCCTGAAGGGATATGGCATTAGAAAAAAAAAAACAAGGCAGAAAATTGAAGCAAGTCTCTAGAGATTCAAACTTCTAGAGCAAAAACCTTGCCTAAAAGAGAATGGTCATAGGTTGTCCTGAGACCTTTGCAGGTCAGGTTACAGAAACAGAGCAATGTTTGCCATTACTCACAGGTACATATGTAAACTTCCACTTTAAATCAACTCTGCATCATATCAGTCCTTGTGGGGAGGCAGATATGAGATACAAAAAGCAAGAAAAAGAAACTTCTATCAATTGAAATAAGACAATTTATGACTTAAAATCTTTTTGCGAAACTATTGCTTTAACAAAATTGGTATTTAGAAATGCGATAATACAAATATCCCTGAAAGATTTCATATTAGAATTTTGAAATTTTCCAACAATATAATGAAGTTACATATTCCAATATTAAAAATATAGAAAGGTGAATTAATATTTCAATATTTATTCACACAATTTTTATGACAAATACTGGAATATTAAGAAATTTGTTTCTTAAACATAATTCTTTTTAAGAGTCTTTCATCTTGTATATTTGAACATTTTCTGATACAAATTTTGAAAGACAACATTGGAAAAATGTGCAGATCTCAAATTTCCAAATATTTTACTGAAACTTAAAAATCAGTCAGCAAAAAAAATTTATGAATTTACATTGATTTTACTTTGATTTAAATTAAAAATTAAAAAAATCCTATAAACAAATTTTAAATTCTTTAAAAAGCTACATTTAATTTACTAAATATATTTAAAAAAAAAATAATAAAACAAAACCCACATTAGTACTTCATTAACCAAACAATTTAAAAAAAAAATTATTTAAAGTTAAAAACTTTACTCAAAAGAAGTGGTTGGTAGCAAAAGACTGCAAGCAATGAATTGAAAAGTATGGAAGACAAGGCAAAAAAAAAAAAGAAAGAAAGAAAAAAGTACACATCAATCCAGCTGGTAGTGGTGGGGAGGGAAAGGATAGAATTCCATTGATGCCCAACAGTGACGTCAACTCGTTGAACTGGACATTAGAAACACACCTGCTGTGGACGCAGGCCGCTTAGTGGCTACTTCAGCCTTGTAGGCACTGACCATGTCGCTGTTGTTACGGGGAATCGTGAAGTATTTGTCGCTGTCGCAGCTGCCCTCCGTGGGCGTTAAGTCGAGGTCTGCAAACAAACAGTAAGTGAACATATCAGGCTGACGATCACAGCATGCAGCCACGGCAGTGGTAGTTCTTGAGAGAGCAGGGGGGAATATGGCCATTCCTTGTAAGGACACAGAAAGAGGACCGGACAAATTATTTGGAAAGTAAGTAAAAGATCAGAAGAGATTCGAGATCATGGCTAACAATGTGATAGATAACTATATCAACAAGTGGATAGTGTCAGGATGTGTGGGTGGCGTAATGTTTATCAGCACAGAAAATGGAACTGGTGAGATGGGTTCAAATTTCATCCATGTTTGTTGTATTCACTTAGCACAAATACCATTGGGAAAGGCATGAATTCATCTGTTCTCCTCCCAGCTATTTGTCAAACAGTAAGGCAGATTGGACTCTTGAGCATTGGCTGGCAACCAGTCTAGGAGGACTACAACTCAAAATTCAAAAGTATAGAGAAGGCAATGAGAAACTACTTTACTATCTTTCCAAGAAGTTATGGTTAGTCATAGATATTGAATAAAAGAAAACTGTGTTTACCTGAATCCTGATGTCACATGTCATAAAAGAAACAAACAGCCATTTTTTTTTCAGTCCACTATATATATATATATATATATATATATATATATATATATATATATATGTGTGTGTGTGTGTGTGTATGTATAAGTGCGCAGGTATGCAGAAAATAGAAAAGAACATGTTGGGTGCATAATCTGGAGTTCCTTAGTATTTTTGTTTTTATTTTTAAGTGCTCCAAACAGACGTAGAGCTTTATTATAATATTTTTTTTGTTTAAAAATGATTCCTTCGCTACATAAGAGTTCTCATGTTTCAAAAACGAGAGCCGAAACCATCCAAATAATTATTAAAATTAAGTTGAATTGAGGTGTTTAGTCTCGTTTCATCTTCAAGCGAAATTTTAGGAAATTTTAGGATTCCTTAAGTCTTTGGCAATTTCAACCATGGAAACATTAACAGTCAAACATGTTAAAGTTATCAAAGCCTATTATGAAAATAGACATTCAAACAGAAATCCAATGAGAAGTTCCCAGGTTGCACCATCTCTTGAAACAGCAAACTCAGTTGGCCACCATGATCATGCATATTGATGCCTTTAGATTTCTTCCTTTCATCTCAAAAGTAAGGTCTATGTCAACAAGCCAACAACAATTCAACAGCTGAAGAAGATAAGGTATATTGGTGAGATTGAGACATCATCAAAAAATTTTGACCATTGAGTGGAGGTGTGTCACTGAAGCCTTGGCAGGCATTTGGGTGATATTATTTTTCACACATAATTGCCATGACTTAAATAACATGATCCATTAGAGAAATAAATAAATTTTCACCAATAACACTGATTTATTTACTGGATGACTTTGATCCATCTTAATGAAACACCCTTTACATGCAGTTAAAATTTTCTACATTCATTGGGCAAGAGTGCTTAATATTAGAAGAGGAAGAGATATAAAATTTCTTATAAGATTAGGCTTAGCAAATATCCACTTTTCAGACAAATTAATGAACACACTTAAAATGCATAATTAGTTCATCTTGTTTCTGGCCAAGCTTGACAATGACTCACGACTATAGCCTGGATGGTAGTTATGGGTGAGTGCTTAATCCAAATATTCTTTCATTTTCTTCTCTGTTAACCATTATGGCATTCCAATAATGAAACATTTTGTAGTAGATATCTGATGATGAAAGTGTACAGGGAGGAGTGGGTTCATGCCTTTTCCAATGGAATTAGTGCTAAGTGACTATAAACACCTTCAGTTTTTCAATTATTTTCTGTCTTTATAGATCATCTTACCACTCTATAAACAAACCTGTTAAATATGCTGATATCTAGTTATGTGTCCAGCAAGGGATTTACTGTCTGTCATTGGTTCAGAAAGTTCCAGATAATCTGGACATTGTTGGCCTGAAATAGAATCTCAGACAAAATTTCTTTTACTTGACTTTCCAAATAAATACAACAAATATTCAGAAACACATTGACAGACAATGAACATAAAAGACAATTGCATGCATTCTTCGAAAGAGACACAGACACGTTTCCATTTGTCAACATCTAACATATACAGTGACTGTCCGAAAGTAAGTAAAACTGAAAGTAATTGGATTTTGAATACTAAAAAATTTGTTTTTAACTCTTTGAAATATGAAAAGTTAAAACCTTATTGGGATAATTTAAAAACTTAAAGTATGAAATTAATTTCAAAAGTTGTGTGGACAAAATTTAAGATCTATACCAGGAAAAAAAACTGTCAAAATTGTTTTTTTTTTTTTTCTCTCAACACCACTATTTATATTCCCTTGATAATTTTTACTGTTTTAAAAAAACTTTTGAATTTTAATAAAACCCTAACATATGAACCTGGATTTATGCATTATCATTTTTTTCTTGACAACTGACAACAAAAGTACAGGTTGTCCCAAAAGTCACTTAGGTATTTAAAAATGTCATAACATATCAGATTTTTCATACTTTTATATATTTTTCCTAGAACTTAGATTAACATGGGGAAAATACTGATGGAAAAATTCACGACAGAACAAAGAACCAAAATTGTGAAATTTTATTTTGGATTTAATAAGTTCATCATTTTGTACCCAAAGAAAATACTGTTGACATCTCCATGCCAGAAAACCACCATTTGGTTTTCTGATTCAATGTTTTAGCCAATATGGCTCCACAAGTGACTCACCACAACATGGAAGATTATATACAGACTGTTCACAGATGAATGGTGAATATGTGCGAGACTAGTAAACAAGAACGAGGAACATCAATTCACAAACACTGACCAGTTGAAGGTGTCTCAGATGTTCTTGCATTACAGATGTAGAGATAATTTGAACCTTAACCCATACAAAGCACAATTTGTACAGACATTGCAGCTGATATCAACAATGCTTAAATGACTTGGTCCAATTCCAGAGACTGGCTAATGAAGATATTGAATTTGTTCATTAGCTGAGTACATGTGATAAAAGCTCATTCTCATTTGAGTTGTGAATTTTTTCATGAATAATTTCCCTGTGTACATTGAAAAGAAAGAAAAAAGATCAAAGTTTGCAAGCATCTGGATCTCCAGATGCTTGCAAACTATTTTAGTGAATTTATGTGGTGAGAGCAAATGAATGAAATGCCTGGAAATCCCCCCCCACCACCACCAAAAAAAATTTATAATTAGTTATTTGTAATTATGTGTTTATTTAGATTTTCTTGTTCACAGACATTTTTATAAATTTATAAATAAAAAATATTTTTCATAGTTATTTCTTTATAATATGGTTAATAATAAATATTGTATTGTAGCTGATTGATATATTTTATAAACTCGCAAATATAAAATTATTCTTGTAAATAAACAATTGAATAAAATAGTGTTTAATTCTTTTGTTGTCAATTCTCTAGAAACAAGAGAATGCATCCACTCAGTTTCATATGCCTGGGTTTTATTAAAATTCTAAAAATAACTTAAAAAAAAAAAAAAAAAAAAAAGCCTTTGTGTGTATAGAGTATTTGCAGTGTCAAGAGAGAGACACCCCCCCAAAAAAAACACCCTTTTTTTGTAAGTATGAATATTAAACTTTGCTATTTTGTGGATAGTAAATATTTGATTAAGTTGTTTTGTTTAATATTTCAATGCTTATTTACATCATCCTATTTTTTTTTTTTAAGTCATCCTATGCTAAAAACATAATTTCTTCAAAAGAAAAAAAAAATAATTGATAATGCTTTACCTAAAATTTAAAAAAAAAAAAAAAGCTTCTTATTTGATTGTTTTAATTTTATTTTGTGTTTAAAAAAATTCACTAGTCGACTGAAAACAGTAAAAGATAAAAATACCAGCTGAAATAATTTAAAAAGAAAAAAAAAAAAAACTTCTGTAAAACAGCCAGAGTTCATTGGCTCTTGATTACACATTTAATAGATTTTCAATTCTTTTTATTCTAATTATTGTGAAAACATTACAAAATATTAATTAATACAACAGTAACAAGATTGTTAAAAATACTTTTAACCATTGGCAAAATAAGTAATTTAGAATCGATCTTATTCCAGTAGAGTGAATCTATTTCTAAATTTTACTAGTTTTAAGACAACTGAAAATTAAATTCAAATTAACCCCCCCTCTCTCTCTCTATATATATATATATATATATATATATATATATATATATTATATATATATATATATATATATATATATATATATATATATATATATATATATATATATATATATATATATATATATATATATATATATATATATATATATATATATATATTATATATATATATATATATATATATATATATATATATATATATATATATATATATATATATATATATATATATATATATATATATATATATATATATATATATATATATATATATATATATATATATATATATATATATATATATTATATATATATATATATATATATATATATATATATATATATATATATTATATATATATATATATATATATATATATATATATATATATATTATATATATATATATATATTATATATATATATATATATATATATATATTATATATATATATATATATAGGCAGGATTTTGGATAGAGGCATTTTTACTCCTGAATGTCTGGTTTGCATTGAGAACTAAATGTAAAAATTATTTTGTAGATATAACTGTATCAGCACTAATTTCTTGCCTCTGGCATTTAACCAACTGCCAAGTCATCATCAGAATGAAATCAATCTATTTCAAATTTGTCATCAGAGTAAAGAAAAGAATGCAGGACTTCCTGGGCATTCACAAGTATATGCCTGATAGTAGAAAAATCAAAAATGACAAATCTTAACCATGTTGGTTTGGCTGATATGTACATGTACAACTCTATAGCCAACTGCTATTATTAGATTTGATTGTAAACAAGTGTTTAGCTGGACAATCTGTCTGAAAGGGTCAATTAGAATCAGGATACAATATTTGTTGACAAGGGAGACAGAAACATTGTAAACATTTTTAAGCACATAATTTGCTTTTTTTTTTTCTTGGCAAGCAAGCATCAAATAGTAGTTAAAAA